AGTTCTCTGTGTTGTATATTCATCAGGCTGCATGTTTAGCCAGTTCTCTGTGTTGTATAATGAACAGGCTCGATGTTTGATCAGTTCTCTGTGTTGTATATTCATCAGGCTGCATGTTTAGCCAGTTCTCTGTGTTGTATAATGAACAGGCTCGATGTTTGATCAGTTCTCTGTGTTGTATATTCATCAGGCTGCATGTTTAGCCAGTTCTCTGTGTTGTGTAATGAACAGGCTCGATGCTTAATCAGTTCTCTGTGTTGTATATTCAACAAGCTTGGTGTTTGATCAGTTAACGTTCTACTTAGTGTACTTTAGTCAGCTAGTATTCTACTTAGTGTACTTTAGTCAGCTAGTATTCTACTTGGTGTACTTTAGTCAGCTAGTATTCTACTTGGTGTACTTTAGTCAGCTAGTATTCTACTTAGTGTTCTTTAGTCAGCTAGTATTCTACTTAGTGTACTTTAGTCAGCTAGTATTCTACTTAGTGTACTTTAGTCAGCTAGTATTCTACTTAGTGTACTTTAGTCAGCTAACGTTCTACTTAGTGTACTTTAGTCAGCTAGTATTCTACTTAGTGTACTTTAGTCAGCTAGTATTCTACTTAGGGTACTTTATTTATTTTATATTTTCATTGATATTCTACGTAAAAATTTTTGTTTGTTTGTTTGTAATTAAGCACAAAGCTACACAATGGGCTGTCGGTGCTTTCTCCACCACGGGTATCGAAACCCGGATTCTAGCGATGTAAGTCCGCAGACATACCGCTGTGCCACTGGGGGGCGAATGTTTGTTTTGTAACTGTATGTTTAGTTTAATCTGGAACTATGTGCTTCACCAAAATCTGGATTATGTTTTTATGTGATCATCTTTATTTACTATTGTTTAATCTGAAATTTGGAATGAAGTCTTACCTATTATCTTCAATTATTATTAAGTACTTTCTGAAAATCAGGATTATGATTTATTTAGGCGCCTTTATGACATAAGATAAATTAAAATGATACTTTCCTGTCTTATGACTTTAAATAATCCAAAAATGATATTTTTCTGTCTTATGACCTTAGATAAACTTAAATGCAACTTTCATGTCTTATTGCTGTAGTTAAACTAAAAATATACTTTCCGATCTTATGGCAGATAGATGGAAACGTGGAAAAACAGTCACACAAATCCAGTTTGTAATAAGTAGATTTTCGCAAACATCCACACATTTTATTTTCCGTATCAGAGGTAACCTTAGCTGAGAGCCAACGAAGACTAGTCGTGTTCAGTATGATCTCGTTGTTCCAATGCCAGGATCCGCTATCCGGGTCGAGATACATCGCTGTCCATAGAGTTTCCACTGTGTTTTTATTCAGCAGAAGCAGATCACGGACATTCTTCCAGTGGTCAACGGAGAGAAGCTGTAGCAAAGTACCGTTCACTTCGAGACATTTCTTTTCAGCGTAGGACTTGTTCATGGGTTGTTCCAGTATAGTGATACAGACATCGTGGTTACACATCCATCCTGTTGAATATACAACACAGAGAACTGATTAAACATCGAGCCTGTTCATTATACAACACAGAGAACTGGCTAAACATGCAGCCTGATGAATATACAACACAGAGAACTGATTAAACATCGAGCCTGTTCATTATACAACACAGAGAACTGGCTAAACATGCAGCCTGATGAATATACAACACAGAGGTACTTTAGTCAGCTAACGTTCTACTTAGTGTACTTTAGTCAGCTAACGTTCTACTTAGTGTACTTTAGTCAGCTAACGTTCTACTTAGTGTACTTTAGTCAGCTGGGTAAGTAAAACGTTACTTGACTAAAGAACACTAAGTAGAACGTTATCTGACTAAAGTACACCAAGT